ATTCAGATACTATATTTTTTAGACCAATCTCTAAACAAAACATTTAGGTAATATTAAGTAAAAACTATGGTTAGGCAATCAGGTCTCTAGAATAGATTTAATTTGTGGGTAATGCTCGGCACGGTTTATTGGTAATACCGAACGGCACTTTTCGTTATTACCGTTACATTACCAAAAATATCCTTTTGTCGAACACCCTGAATTTGTTTCTTAGAATAAATTCAAGGACCTTTATTTTACACACCTTTATCCTTTCTTTTTAAATTTAATAAAAAATATTATTTTTTTCGAACAAAACAAATTAAAAAAATATTTTTTTTAATAAAAAAAGGGAAGAAGAATTTATTTCTTTAATTAAATAACAACTATTTAGTAAGTACATGTGTAGCCGTAGACTGACTCAATTATATAAATTTTTTCTTTAAAAAATTCCCAAAAGAATAATATTCGTCATTAGAATTTTTTAAAAGAAAAAAGGGCCTAGCAACAAAATTGAGTTTAAAGTAAAAAATATGTCCAAATTGTTTTTTTTTAAAAATGAGGAAGAAAAAAAAAAAGTAAAATAAAAATGATTAGGAAAAATGAAAGAAAATAATAAAATTTAAAAAGAAAAAAATATTTAGTTAAAGCAATAATCCAAGACGAAACGTGTAACAGAGCGTAAACTACACAAACAAAAAAAAATAAATATTTTTTTAAAAAAGTAATGATTGCTAAAGGACTTTCTTTAAATTTAAAAAATATTTTACTTTACTTAATTTATTCTTTCTTTTGTTAAAAAATCTGTCCTTTTTTAATAAAAAATTTTTAAAGTTTAGAGATTAAAAATAAAAAAAATATTAGGGATTTTGTAAGGATTTCAAATTTATTTATGACAGCTATAATGAATATTTTATTTTAGAAATCGGGACGGGATATCGTACGTGATTTTACGGGATCCCGTCCCAAAAGGGATCCCTTAAGCAGCAAAATAAATTACCGGGATTTCAGCGCTTAGTCCCGGGATTTAAGCACTTAAATTAATGCTTCCATTATTATCTTCTAAAACACACATGTTAACGAGAATGAGATTTTTCCTATCTCTAATCTATATTTCTTGTAAAAATGAAAATTCATTTTTTACAAATATCCCAAATAACCTAGAAAATTATCCATATGTACCCAGTATGAAATTCAATTTTCTATCCTCTAAAACTTCCTTAAAACATATTCTAATTTAAATTTTATAAATTAACGCTTTCATTATTATTTAAAATTTATTAAAAAATTATTTTAAATATTCTCCTATGTAATACACTTGCACTTTTATAAAAATCATCATCAAAAAAATTCTTTAAAAAATTTTTTAAAATATTTATGCTTGAATTAAATAATAATTTTACTAATGATGATGAGTAAATACAAAAACATATTTTTTTCTTATTTTAATTAACTAGTATTATTATTTTATAAAAATTTTTTACGTAAATAAAAGAAAGTAAATACTTTGTTAAATAATTAGTTAATAATTTTTATATTTTGTTATTTTATTTAAATATTTATTTTAATTATATACTAATCAAGATTTGACAATTTAAATTTGTTTTTATTTTAATTACTTAGATGCGTTAGTTAATAAATTAGAGTTGTCAAAAATTAATTTTAAAATTCTTTCGGAATTACAGATAAATATGTTAGCATCCATCCCTCTTTTAATTGTATATACATATATGCGTATGTACATATACATCAGGGATCTTTCCGGCATAAAAGATTAATTGCGGTTTCGGTAAATCGGGATTCTAACCAGGGCTGCACGCATTTGCGGATCGCGTTTGCGGGTTTTAAGATAAATTGCGAGTAGTGGATTGCGAGTTGCATGCAGCCCTGATTCTAACTCAAAATAAACGCGAATTCCCGATATTCTTGAATCCCTGCTAAACATGTATTAATCCGTTGAATGAATTTTTATTTAAAGTTATTATTTTGTAGCATTTTATTAATTTTATTTTTCTTTTTGAATTAAAAAATTTGCTTTATTTTTCATTTTTTAAATTTATTTTTATATTTATTCTGTTTCGTTCTCTTTGTTAAAAAATCTCAATAAAAAAATTCCATATAAAATGTCTACTCAAATAATAGCTATTTTAATACTAACAAAATGCACAATTGGCATACAAATATCTTATTTCAATTATTTATTCAATGAAATTCTTTACCGCTTTTACCAATTATTAAAATTATTTTTGTTTGTTTTTGGCTTAAAAATATAATTTTGATAATTATTTTTTAATAAAAAATTTTTTATAATTATTTAAAAATATCGGGAAATACCTCGCTTATTTGTTAGTTGTGTGTTTTTTAGCATTTTTAAACTAATAACAAAATTTTTTGTTATTTAAAAAATTATTTTATATCAAACGATGTCAATATTTTTTAATGTATTTTTTTATGAATGCTTTATTGAATTCCAACTTAACTCTCGCAGCGTTAAATATCCAATTAGAGTGAAATTATTTTTTAATTTAATTTTCGCCAGAAAGATATTAATGAACAATTAATTATTTAATGATAATTATTATCATTTAACTGCAAACTAAAATTCTTAAAAAAATTGAAAGATTTAATAAATTAATAATTTTTCTAAAATTTGCAAATCCTCATTAAGACACACAATTTGTATGCAAAAATCTATTATTTAAATTAATAATTTTTAATTATTTAATTTTTAATAAATTAAAAGGGTAGGAAGATGTATATTTTTTATTAACGATTTGAATAAAAATTTTTTTCCATTTTTATTTCCGCCGTGTCATTTTTCAATTGTCTAAATGAATACAAATTTTTTTTATTAAAAAATATATATGTATGTACTTCCTCTAATTTTACGTCATTTGTGTACACATAATAATATTTATTTTTTTACTTAATATCCGGAATTAATTTTTTAAATTATTTTTAAAATTTTCCCCACATATTTCTAAAAATTTATTAAACTTATGGAATTAATTTTATAAATAAATATTTAATAAATTAATGTTTCATTTCAATCATAAAATATTTATTTTAATAAAAATTATTTTAAATTCCTCCTTTTCTAATCTCTTTCTCCTGCCTTTAATCTCTTTAAACATTTATAAAAATCTTCTAAATTTAAATAAAATATATTTTTATTTATTTTAATTAAATATATCCATTAAATTATTTAAATTTCCAAAAATATTTTTTTAAGTAAAAATTTATTATTTTTTAAAAACGTCAACTAAAGAAAATACTTTTCTTCTATATATTCCCCCCTTTTTTAACACTTTTAAAAACCCTCATTTAAATATTTAAAATATTCTTTGGCCAAAAAAAAGAATTTTCTTTTGTTTACTTTTAAAAATAAATATTAACATAGTTGCTTTACTTTTTTGTCTAAATAGCCTTGGGAAATGCTAATAGAAATAATACTTTTTTAAAAAAGAATAATTTCCAATTATTTTTTTGTTTGAATAAAAGATAAGAAAATAAATTTAAATAATTTTATAACTTTTTTTTGAATAAAAATATTATTTTTGAATTATTTTTTTAAATTAAAATTATTAAAATTTAATGCTTTTCATTATTTATATTTTATTTAAAATTAAATCCCTTCTTTTAATAATCAATTCTTTTAGAAGATATACTTTTCTATTACATCTTTCATCATCTTATTTTTAAATAAAATGTTAATTTTATTTAGTTTTTTAGTAAATAACTTTTGCCTGATCCATTAATATGAGATCTGACTTGATTAACGAGTAAATTTGGGAAAAAGATAGCGATTAACGAGAGTTTTCGAATGATATTAGATTAATTTGGATAGGATCAAGCTAAAAAAGTTGTAGCCGATCGAATTTGGAAAAAGGGAAGATTGGAGGGGGGGGGGGGACTGGGAGATAACACAAGAGGACCAATGAAATTATCAAAAATTATTATTTATCAAGCTTATACTTTAGTATTTTCTGTTTTTTGATTTATATGCTTTTTAAGGATAAAAATTTTTAATTCTTTGAATATTAAAAATATTTTATAATAAAATACTTTTCTTTAAGAGATTATTTTTGCTTGAGACGAAGAAAATTTGGATAAAAAATATAAAAAAAGATAATAATTGTAAAAATTCCAAAATATTTTCTAATTAAAAACAAAAATGAATTCATATATAATTCATTCAACACTTCACAACTTTGAATTTGAAAATAATCGAAATAATAAAAATCAAAAACAACAACATTTGGTTGCCTCTCCTGCAGCAAATGAAGTCTTTTAAAATTATTTGGGGGAAAATTTAAGAAAATTTTTTTAGAAAAATAAATGTTTTGATATATTTAACACAAATTTACAAACAAATGGAAATTCTAATAATGTAAATTCCTCAGAATCTGGACAGTTTTTGATGGCACCACGTCCATTGAGACGTTGTAGAAGTTCTTCCCCTTCTACAAATCCAACATTAAATAAGGTTGTGAAATTTTTAAGGAGAGATTTTTGAAAATTAATCTTTTTTCAGCAAAATAGTGGCCATTTACAAATGCTCAGTCTTGAACAGCAAGTTTTAATTAGGTAATAGAGTACATAAATATTGTTTTTTTCTTTATTAAAATTTAATTTTAAAAATTTAAAAGTTCTATCTAATAGCCTCGCTACGCTGTAACCCCCTCCATTAGGGATCTATTTGCCCTTTATTAAGTTGCCAGTCATCCGTTGTTCGGTAATGGAAGAAAATCATACCATAATAGGTCCGAACTTTTGCGCTAAATTTTCCTCACGCCATCGACTCTTTATTCTCGCAAAGGGTTGGTTCTTCAAAAATTCCTGATTATATTTATTCGATTGTTAATTCTCTATCATATAAGATTTATATGATCCAATATTTTAAATTTGAATAAAGTTATGGCATAAAAAGTTGCCTTAAACTTTAATGGTCACTCTATATTGAAAATACAATGGAATTAATAAAATTGTAAAAACTCTTATGCTCATTCCGGCATTTAAAATTTATTTTATCTTTTTTTCATTAACAGAAAGTCGTGGTCTAGAATTCAAAAATCAACTTTTGGAAGCACAGTTTATGAGAAAATGCTTGGTTTGTTTAATTTTTAAATATCAATTTTAAATTAAAAAAATTTTAGAGAAATGCCCGTCCATTGAGCGTCTTTTCAATCCATCAGATCCGTTAGCTATTTCGCGTCATGAACGTTATTTTACTGAATTAGCTCAATGGGCAGTAGATGGAATGTCAGAACCCGATAAAATTTTAAGTAATTGGTTGGAAATGGTTGGAAGGGAACATGCTCAATTTCGTGTAAAGTGGGGGGAATTTATTTTTAAATTTTAAAAATTTTATCAAAAAAATCTCAGGCGTTCACATTGGGATTTTATGGGAGAGGCTTTAGCTGAATCTATCTGTCAATCAGCAACAATTACTGGTAGACAAAGACGTGAAACTGTACATGCTTGGCGATTACTTCTTTCATTTCTTGCTGATAGACTTGGTATTTGTTTGGATTTTTGGAATTTTAAAACAAGAAGGACGAAATAATTTTTAGAATTTTTCCATTCCTAATTTAATTTTTATTAGTTGAATTCGACTTTCCTTTAAGTTAACTTCATTATAATTTAATTAGGAGGAAGTTCATCAGCTCCAATTGTCTCAACTCAAGATGGTGGGATTGGCTTTAATCGTATTCATCTTCTACAACTTGTAGCTGATGGCCCGAGACAGGGTCAGGTTGAAGAGAAGGATGTTAAGATGTTATGAGTGATTAACGATGCAAATATTTTTGACGTGTTTAACACATATCCCTCCAAATTTAGATAATTTTTTAAATTGTATGTATATTATAAACTCGGTAGATGTAAATATTCTCAAATATTTCTAGTAGAATATATACTAGTTGAGTAAATCTGAATTTGGACTAGGGTTAGATTTTGTTCCAATTAAATATTTCCGGTTTTAAAATTTCAAAAAAAGCTTGTGGATGAAAAAAAGCTTGTGGATTACAAGCTTGTGGATGATACGGAGAAATTTTTAGTAAATTAAAGGAACTTATTAAATTAACAAATTTATTTAAAAAACTTTTAATTTTATTTTATTTCTTTTAAAATTAGTATAATAAAAAAAATTTAGATTACTGTTTTTTTCGGAAAGAATTTGTAAGTCTACTGTAATATCAGAATTACCTAAAGATTTAAAACAAGAGAGAAGTGACACCAAAATTTAAAGTTCTGACTAGAGTTCAGCGGTATCGGGATTTAGAGAAAAACCCGGGATCGGGATTTAGGAATAGTCATCCCGATCCCGATCCCGGATCCCGACACGGGATCGGGATTAGCCGAAATCGGGATCGGGATTTGGACTGGAGATCCCGATCTCGGTCCCGATCCCGAATCGGGACCGGGATTGAAAAATCGGGATCGGGATTTACTAAAAAATTTTTTAAAAATTTTTATTTTCTTCACATACGACTCAGTATAATTCTAAAATTGCCGCTGCGGTGCTGAAATATAGAGTTTAAGTCTCATAAACACATAATTTACTTTCCGGTTGGGGATTATGGGGAGATAAGGGGATTAAGGGAGATAATGTAGGGGATTAGAGGAGATAAGGTAATGGGGGGGGATAAATGGGATTGGGCTTCTATTTTAAGCGCCGTAGGCTAAAATTTTGAAAAATTTGGAAGGCCAAGGTGCCAGATTTCCTCCCTTTTAAGCGTCGCAGGCAACATTTTTTAATTTTGGAAGGCCAAGGGCATTCAAGTCTAATTCAAGTCTAACGATTAAGTGCGTTACGCTAAACCGTGGACGATTAAGAACTGACATTCAGGTATTAAGTGATATATTCATTTATCAATATCTCTTAAGCCCTCGATTTCTCTTCAAATCTAACTCAATCCCTGTAAATCCACCGATACTCCTCTCAATCCCTCTTGATCCCTCGATATCACACCAAATCACTCAATATTTCATTAAAGTTGTAAAGACAGCTTTGTTCATTTTTGCGGCGCCGCAGACGAAAATTTTGAGATTTTGGATGTCAACATGCCAAATTTTTTCCATTTTCTGCGCCGCAGGCGAAAATTTTTCTTACTTTCATGCCTCCCCTCTTTTGTTAACTTTATTTCACAGACTTCTAGTCAATTTATAAAGTCGGGATTTGCATCGGGATCTGATGCACATCCCGATCCCGATCCCGGATCCCGGCTCGGGATTGAGAATGACCGGGATCGGGATCGGGATATTTATTTCGGGACCGGGATCAGAAAAATCGGGATCGGGATTCGAAAAACCCGGGATAATCCCGCCCGATCCCGACCGGGATCCCGATCCCGCTGAACTCTAGTTCTGACAGAAGATATCTTTAAAATAACCAAGATAACTTAATAGTAGGGTTGTGCACGACCGGTTTTAAAACCGGAAATTTTGATATTTTTTGCCAAAAATTAACTGTTTTTACAAAATTTAAAAACCGAAAACTTCTGAAAATGAGTGATTTTATTAAAAATCCCCCCAAAATACATAAAACTGTTATCTGTTCAAAACTCAAAACCGGGTTTTTCAAATTTGGATTAACCGAAAACCGGTGGTATCGTTTACTAATCGGTCGTGCACAACCATACTTAATAGCTATAAGAAAGTGTGAAAAGGCGTTTTAATAGGAAAGATATGTAAATTAATATACTATCATAATAGCATATAAATTTTAAAAAAATTTTAAATTAATAAAATAAAATTTCTTTTTCTTTTAATTGCAATTGAAACCATAAATTTGATCAAGAAATTCATCAAATTTCTTCATTGTATCACTTTGCAAATCTTTCATAGTTTCCAAAAGAGCAACTTTCAAACGATCTGTAAAAATATTTAATAAATTTAATAACAAATTTAATTTTTAACCCTCCAAAGTTTTATCCTTTTCAACAAGTTTTTGAGTAACAAATCCAAATGTTTCACAATCATTTCGATAACTCTTAAATTATTTTTAATTAAATATTTTCTTTATTTATTTTGACAACCTTTTCAAATTCTCGTTTTTTCTTTGCCACACATTCCCGTAACTCTACAGATAATTTGTTAATTTTCTCTTCACGAATATTGTCGGAAATTTGCTGTTTGGACAAAGAACCTTTTTTTAATTTTATAATTTTTATTTTAATTCATTTTAAAATATACTTAAATGAAATCCTCCTTGATTTTCATCAACATTTGTCGATACTTTGAATTTTATACCCTTCAGAATTTGACGCTAGAAACAATTTAGTTAAATGTTTATTTAATTTATGTTTCGATATAATTTAAATCTAGTAATGATAAAATCTCAGTAATAAATTTTTCTCGAATCTCGTCTTATCCACGAACGTTCCACTACTTTCTCTAAAGAACTAATAGGGAGGATTTCTTTTTAGAAATAAGTATATCTAATAAAAATTAAATTACGGATAAACAACCGTGTCTGAGCCCATGTAAAAATCCTATTTCCAGGGTTTCGGGGTTTTAACTACGTCTGAGCCAAGACGAGATCCCGAAGAAAAAGCTCAGTATAAAGATAGATATTTTTCGAGATATCAATCTCCAGTCCGGGCTCTAGTCTTAACCCAGGAATCATGATGGAGTCAATTTAAAAGAACAAACCCGCGATACTGAGCCCAATAAATTGAAAAGTTCAGACTTTAATATTTACTCACCTGTATGGCTAAAAAATTATTATTCGCTAATGGATCATCATCGCGTACGTGTGAAGACGATGCTACTTCAGGTAAGGTTTCTTTTTCCATAAGTGGATTTTCTGTGATTTGTATATCTTCAGTATCTGTATCTTGAGTTGAGAATGATGGGTTTACTTCTAAATTTATTAAATTTATTTATGTTAATACATAAGTTAATACATCCAAAATTCTCAAAATTTTCTCCTAAAAACAGCCCTAGATATTTCTTCCAATTTTCTATTACACCAAGTACGAGAAACTAATTTTACTCATTTCACCCACATGTTGGCCTCGTACTTTCAGCATTTTAATTTTCTTGACATTATTGCTTCGTACATAATACGTATGAGGTACGAGTACAAATCGAACATCCAATCATTGTTTCTGACTTGATTCAACTATATTTACAATAATTAACTCACGATATTGCCAAGCCATATTTTCCGATGTTTTGTTTGATTCATTTTGTTGATTAATGTTTTGAGGATTATTTTCCTTAAATAAATATATTAATTAGTTTAAAATTAATTACCGGATTTGTTTCATTCTTCCTTGGAACAGATATTTCATTATTCAGTAACCCTTTGTCTCCTATTGAATATTTTAAAAAATTTTATTTTTTTTTTAAATTTATATTATTTTTTAATATTATGATTATTATCTAAAAATATCCTACTCAAATTTCTTTGATGGATTGGCCCATTATTGTGATTGTTTTTAACGTTATGAAACCTTAATGGTTTAAACTAAAATTTAACTATCAATTATTAAATAAAAATATAATCTTCTGACATAATCTTTGTCACAAACTTTACAATAAACTCCATTTTCATCCACAATATAATTCTTTGAATCAACCTCCCCCAATCTTTCAACATAATTATTCCATCTTTCTAAATCAGGTAATTTCTTTACATTTTCAGCATTATTTATTAATAAAAAGAATATTAATATATTTAATAACCACATTCGCTATAAAATTTTATTTTAAGTGTTAAGCAAAATAATGTGGAATTTCATATCCAAGGGTGCAATCAAGGCTTAAATTAAATCCTTATAAGTCCCGCACAAGGGTTTTATTCAAATGAGTATTTTAAAAAGATTATTACTAGAATATTAATTAATTACTTATGTATTTTTAAAATTAAATAAATTTACAAAGCTGAGATATAAAAATATATGTATATTAATGAATAATGATAATAAAAAGTACATATTTAAAATATTATTAACTCAGACAAAAAATTTAGTATTTCAAAATTTATTTACATATTAAAGTAAATTATTTCATGGATTTTCATAAAAACGATTTTTTGAGTAAAACATAAAAATGCGCTCTCCTTTAATGTCTGATTTAGTAATTACATATACTTAAGTGCATATTTTATATAAAAATTAAAAAAAAATATTAAAAGGGCAAATTAATTAAATTTGATTTTAAATAAATTAATTTACAAATAAATAAACAAATTATAAAAATAGAAAAAGGTTCTAATATTAACAAATCCAAATTTTAAAATCTAAAAAAGGCAAAAAATTAATTATTACAAAAATTTAAATTGTTATTTGGGATGAGGCGACGAGTAGATCTCCGAATTTTTTTCGGAGCCAGTAAAAAATTCCAGTAAAAAATCGACTGGATCTGGACTCTGGATTTAGGATATTGACTGGACTGGATTCTGGATCTGGTACAGGAAAATTCCAGATAAAAAATGCATGGATCTGGACTCTGGATCCAGTAAAATCTAGACTGGATCTCTACAAAGTACCAGATATTCCTCCAAATCTTCTTTATTTTCCTACAAATCTTCTCAAAATCAAAGATATCCCTCCAAATTCGTGCTATATCCTTTCATTCAACGGATATCCCTCGAAGTTAATTAAATTCAAGAATTAAGACAGAGGTGGGATTAATGGGATATCGAGGATGATTAAAGGGGATTGCAGATTATAGGAAGATATATACGAATGATTAGATCGCATGAAGGAAATATTTGGAGATTTAGAATGAAATAGAGATTAAGAGAATTTGATGAGATATCGTTAGAGTAGTCTTCTATTAAAGACTAGGCTTATATTTTTCGATGGGTCTCCTTGAGTGGGTTTATAATAGAGATGGGCTTCTAATATGTTAAAGCATTTAACGTATTTAATATTTAAAATATTGTTTAAAGAAATATTTAAATTAATTCAAAAATTTTTTTTGCAATTTTGGTCATTGATAATTAAACTAAAAAATCAATTTATTCTTATTTTTTATCTCATTTTGACTGCATTCCCTATCCATATTAAAACACGTATAGATAATTTTTTTATAAAGAAAAACCCAAATTATCTATCTATTTACAGACTTAAAATTTTTAAACAAGATTTGGAAAAGGAACGAGCCCAAGAATAATTGCAAAAACACAGAACTCAGCGCAAGGCCAAAAAAACACAAGAGACGCAAAAATGTGAAAAACTATTTTTATAAAGTTATTGGCCATTTCCCCTTTACGAATCACTAAATGTCAACGAGTACAGTATTTATTTTGTAATATAAGGGTTTAGAAGATAGTGATTTGAGGGATATCATGGATATCAGGCAAAATCGAAAATACTAGAACCTAATAGTTAAAAAATTAAGTGTCTATTTTAAATGTCTAATCTCGAGTTTCTAAGAAAATTTAATTTTAAATATCCTTCAAAATTGCATATTTTGAATCTGAATTTCTAATCTAAATTTTAAATTTAAAAACCCTCGATTAATTTACGAGACCTAATTTTGAAATTTATTTTGCACTAAAAAAATAGATTTTTTAATTCACAGATTCTCTCAACGCACACATCCCATCCATCTCATAATATTAAAGATATTGGTCCGCCTTTTCAATCGAGTATTTATCAACCAAATAAATACTCGTTTTTATTTTAAATCTTCACTTATTTTATTTTTAATTTTTCTAAAAATTTTCCTCCATACTCTTCTTCATTTTAACCTTTTTCTACGAGTAAATTAAATTTGAATCTGATTAGAAGATGTTAGAAAAAATCATTTAAGATCCTTACGCTCAAAATTAAAGTATCCTATAAGTGTATTCATTGTTAGATTTTTCATTAATTTAAAAAGCCCTTTACTATTTTTTATTTGCATTTGGTGGCCCTAACTATAAGTATGATTCTTTCAATAATTTATTCCAGAGTTCGAGTTAAATAGGAACTTTTCACACCCCTTTAAATTAATATTTGCCAAAAATTAAACATTTATCACAAACTCATCTTCCATTAAAAGATAAATCAAAAATATTTTTTTGTAAATTTATAGATTAGAAAAATGAAAATTAAAATTATTTTTCTATTTTTTGTTTTAATTTATTTTACAAAAAATATTGGAGAAGGAAGTTCAAATAAAAGAGGAAAGGGTAGTAGTAGTTCATCAAAAAGGGGAAGAAATATAAATCAAGGAACGAGTGGTATTGGAGATGGAACAAATTACCCAAACATTACAGCAGTTTCTTCTTTTGAACCTACTTCTGTTCATGAATCTTCACACACACAACCAATTTCAAATGAATTGCAAGACCCACAATCACTTGTTGGGGATAATCCCTTTCATTACCACACAATGTATCCATCTGTTATACCTCTTGATGACTTTGACACTCTTGGATATGATTTGGGCCAATTTTCAACAACGCATCAATTCCCAACACCATTGCCTCCACAAACTCACAATCAAGAGTCAGTGACGAGAACAGAAGATAAGCCTGAAAATCCTTCTTCGCAACCAACAGAAAATAAGTGTATATACTTCTTGTTATAATTATTTATAATATCTACCTATGTTAATTTAGCAAAAAACTTAAAATATAAAATTTGTCTGCTAACCTTTCTAGGGTGGAATTTGCTTAAAACTCTCGAGAAAATTGACTTAAATTTAAAATTTTCTTATAAACTTAATTTTAAGCAAATATTTATTATTACAAAAAGCTTTTTCGAAAGTCGAGATTTTTTCGAGAAAATATCTAAGCAAGCTATTTTTATCCAAGCTATTTTTCGAGAAAATACTTTTTTATAAGAGAAGTACCTCCAAATTTCTTTGAAAATATTAATCAAAACATTAAAAATGTAATTATTCTAGGTCGATTTGAAGTATTTAACAACTATATTAAAGAATTTAATACAAATTCGGAAATATTTAAAGTAGTTAATGATGGAGATGATTGTTGTTATGTTAAATGTAATAAATGTGATAAAATTGTTGTTAAGAAAAATTATGCTGGTTGGAATTATATGGCATATAATAAAATTAAAAATCATTATAACACATTCCACGGAGGGTATGAAAGTGAAGGTAATTTTATACGTAATTAAAATTTGATATACATACTATATTTAGAAAACAAAAAAGTTTTGGAAAATATGTTAAAAAGAGTTGGCCAAACAGATAATTTTACAATACAAGAAAATACAAATAAAGTTATTTGTAATGTTTATAAAACTCCAGTAAATTTTTTAATAAATTAATAAAACATATTAGATATTTAAGTTAAGCCCAACATTAGAAATTCATATTACTAAACATCTAGATACAGACAAACATCTACAAAATATTACAAGTAATGTGTTTATTAATATTTTTTGTTTTAATAATTAAATTAAAATAATTAGACAATGAAGAGTTACTGAAATCAACTGAAAATTTATTTAACAAAAATGAGCAATATTTCGAATTTGAGGGTAAAAAAGCGAAATGTACATTATGCAATTCGGAGGTTTTTAATATTATTGAACTTATTATTAGTTTCTTAAAATATTTTAGCTTGCTCTAAACGTCAGATCTTATCTATTAGCACACATTAGAAGTAAACAACATCAAAAAAATTTTGAAGAGGGTAGTCAATTAACTTAATATTTTTAATTTTTAGAAATCTAATATTTTTTAATCGCTAACTTAGGAAGCAATTCTTAATTAGCAATTTTATAAAAATTTTACATACATACCTAAAATTCGTACTATTACGACTGTAAACATATACCTATTTAATTCCTGAGGTTGTGGACTACCTATATTTATTTTTAAAAAATAT